AAAAAAAAAAAAAAAAAAAAAAAAAAAGAAAAACGAAATTAACACAAAAAAGAAATCGTCAAACTGCATACGAATCAACTCTTCAAATGTACACTCAACAAAACAAAATGAAAAAATCGAAAATACGAAAATTTAAGCCTACACACTTTGATAAACTGTTAAAAGCAATATCACCAAAACCCTATGAAGAGTAGCACGTTTCAGAAATGAAAACCAAAATTAATGGCATAAATCAGCTTACACATATGTTAAAAATGTAAATAAAAAATACGACTAAAGATACAATGAATCATAATCAAATGATTTTTGCAAATACCGATTTTGACTCACCACCGTTTCTTTCTTGCTTTATTCTCATCAGTAAAACGATTCAACTCAAAAATGAACAGAAACACAAAGTCACGCATAAATGTAAGGCCTACGTCTTCCCCGCAGAGGTACCGCCAACAACTTTGAAATTATGGTCGGTTTTATCAGACCGAAACGCAAAAACTAAAGATGTAAAAGCAGAAATAAATTTTCCTTCCTGGATTTTAAAACACTGCAAAACAGGAACGAAGTGATGATAAATAAAATTTCGAAAAAAAACCCTTCTGTTTTTACGCCTGGCAAAACAATAAAATATAAACAACTTTGGGAATATAAACAACTTTCCGCAATTCAGACACCTATCAAAGTTACTGTACCCTTCTGTACAGATATTCGCAGCCAAAAAGCTTTCACCGATAACAGTGGCGACGAGAATAATGATGATAATGGTGATGATGACCATAATGAAACGCAGCGATTCAACTTTCATTTCCAAAAGAAGTGGAATAAACGCAAAATAAATTTACCGTCAGTTTGCTAGAAAGACCTGTCTGTCCAGTGTACCACCGCCAATACCAGCACCGTTAATGAACAAAGTGTAAGACAAAGAAGAAGCAAAAGAGGACGTCACTTGCTCAAATTACCTTGAATGTACAACAATAAACTCTATGCTCAGAAATTCGCTTCAAAATAACTGGCTCACAGAAACAAACCCCTACGACAGGCAAATAAAAAACGAACAGTGGTTAGGAAAAGAGCATAAAAACAGACAAAAAATATATGAATATAACACGCAAAAAAAACGATGCTTGTCGGATAATTCATCAATCGATGACGCCAGTCAGCAAACTATATACCGATACACATAAATATATATAAATATGGATATGAATATAAACATATAAACAAATAAACAAATAGATAAATAAATAAATAAATATATATAT